AGTGTGATGATTATTATTCTTGTTTATGTATTACAGAAAAAAAGTCCTTGTTCAATAAAAAGAGCTGCATTTCTACAAGGTACTGGTAAATGACTCTTCCTCATATTGAAATGCTCTTATTGCAGTAAATAGGAAACACAAACATACTCTTCCCAACTCCATTTCCCTTCTTATTTAGCATATGTGCTGCGAAGGGAGCACCCTTTCCCTTCTTATTTAAAAGCATGACTCACTAGCTTTTCCCACTTTCACCTATTCTGCTCCTGGGGTGGGAGTGACAAATGAAATAATTGGCCTTCCTAAAACTGGAGTCAACATCTGAAGTCGAAAAGCGAGTCTTTGTTTTATCCTTTCTTTTCATGAAACAACAATAGTTTCAAATGATAGCTTAAGCTTTCTTAGAGAAAGGCTGTCATATGCACAACTTGCCAGCTGTCTCTGATTAACGTGCCTGTGTTCTCCCAGACACTCAGCAGGAGCTTGTGGCTCTGCTGTGCCAGGGCTCACGCTTGCCGAACAATGTCTGCATGAACAGAAAATTTAATTTCTGTGAGAAGTCTGACCTCTGGACACATGGTTTTCTTGTTGCTCATGGCCTAACGGACTTGGATGGAAATTCTGAGCCTTTCCCCACCCTCCTCCCTCACTGAAATTCAAGTGTCAGCCTGGAGAAGCACTGTACTCAGAGCGGAACTTATAAGGGTGGCCTCTACCAGGAACCCTGGTGCTGGGACATAAGTCTTGGGCCACTAGCCACAGGCCTGAGGTTCAAATGCACCAGTGACAGCTCCAAAGGGGAAACAGGAAACTGGCTGCTCCCAGAAAGATTTACAGTCTCACTAATTTAACACCCTGTCATTTGACCTCCCTTTTGACCCATTTTAAATTTGTTATAGTTTTTAACAATTTCTACTTTCTTTTTGACAGAGGATTTTCTCTGTTGTTATTTTTAGTTTTGCTTTTTGTTTTGTTTTGTTTTTTGATCAGCAAGCTAGCTTTATTGTACAGGCAACAGGAATTTCATTTTGATATGTTTTTCTCATATTAAATCTAGGATCAGAGAATTTATGGAGAGAGTAACTGGATAAATGTTATCTTGGGGGTATAACAGGGTACATGAGGCAGAAATGGGGTGCTGATAACAACTAGTACAAGAAAATACTCTAAAATTGATAGTAGTCATGGTTGTACGACTCTTCTTGATACAACTGAACTACTGAATTGTATGATATGTGCCAATAAAACTATCTATCTATCTATTCTATATATTGTCAGAAGAGACTCAATAGCAGTGGGTTTTAATTGCTCTTTCCACCCACCCCTGGGTACACTGCACTCTGTTGTTTAAAGAGATGGATAAATCCAGGGCTGTCCTTTGAGGAGCCAGCATTCTGGAAACATGACCAGAATGGGCACGCTCTGCTCAACTCCACATGGAAGAAGCCACGTCGCCTGGAAGCACCACTGCTCACTACCAGTCAGCGAGCCATGTCATAGTAAGACAGACTGGTACTGGGTCTTGTCAGGAACTCTGAGAACGTCAGAGGGAAAGAGCTGGTCTCCAAGGCAAGCGTCTGGTATTCCAGTCTTAGCTGTACCATCTGCCACGGCGTATTCTGCAACTCCCTGCACCTGTTCTCTGCAGTGCACGATGGATCATATAGCTCTACGGGCTTCTGCTGTTCATCATATTAAATTTAGACCAGAGATCAGGGTATGCCATAGACCATAGTACTCTCACCCCTCCTGTGATATAGGATACTTCAAAAAGGTTGCGTCTGGAATAAAAACAGACTATGTGCTCGTGCAGTTTTATGCTTTTGAAGATCTAAAATGCTCAGTGGGCACAAAGCCAAGTCACTACAAAGGGCTATGATATACTGCAGGTTTGGTGCAGCCAAGGAGATGCTCCACAGAGTGCCCACCTCTGCCTGGCAGGCAACTTCTCATTTATCTATGGCTTTGTCCTAAAAATATGCACAAGCCTTACACTGTCTATGAAGTTAGGTCATAGTTCCCATCTTATGCAATAGCTCTTCTGGGAAAAACCATATAATAGAGAACTATAGTCAAGCACTGCAGTACAGTAGCTAGTAGATACATGGGGCTGTTCACTTTCTGATTCATTAAAATTCAAAAATGCAGATCCCACAGGGAAAATGGCAAATGGACAAGTGATAGTTGAACAACACAACAAATTCCACTAATGTCCCTGGATTGTAATGTGCAAAACACATTAAAAGGGCAAACAGTTGGCTATGCATATATTTTATACAATTTTTTAAATATTCAGTTCCTCGATCACATTACATACTTATTAAGTGCTCAAAAGCCACAGTTAGCTAGTGGCAACCATGTTAGACAACGCGGACTGCAGCACCTTTTCATCACTGCAGCAAGTTCCGGGGACAGCGCTGAGTGGTTTTAGAACACAACTGTAAACACAGACCCCTCAATTCTGTCAGAGACAAATGTGAAGACAAACCCCTGGCCACCAGAGCACACAAGGTCCTCCATGGAAAGCAGTTTCGTCTCTGCGTCGGACTCCACAGCAAGCTGTCTTGGTTACAGGAGAGCAAAGGGACGCACTGTCCATTTACAACACATCTAAACCCAAGGGCCTCTGCAAATGCAGAGACTGCTGCAGCGTGGTTTTAGGGTTGCTCCTGACTTGTGGAAACCAGATCCTCAAATTCCAAATCCATCATTGCACCAAATTTTACTCTCTGCTTTCTGTCAGTACTTCCTCTCTCGCTAATCCCACTGATTGCAGGAAGGCTGGGAATCTGTTCACTGTGAAGGGCCCATCAGAGACATTCTTTTTGACAAAAGCACTGAGAAGCCGTTCAATAGCTTTCTGATCCAATGTGGAGAGTGACCATCACTTAAAGTGTAGTTGAGACGGAACACATTTACAAAAATAAAATTGCCATTGAACCTATTCTGTATTTCTGACTACTGGTAACCCCATGTAGGTCAGAGCAAAGCTGTGATCTTAATAAAGTTTTCAACAGAGGACTTTTTTTTTTAAATACACATTGCCAGGGCTTTCCTGCAAGGCACCTCTGGATGAACTCAAAAGTTCCAACCTTCCAGTTGGCAGCTGAGCATATTAACAATTTGTATCCCCCGGGCCTCCTGACACATATTATTTGAAAAAAAAAATTTAAGAGAAAGGTCAAGAAAGAATCTTCAGAATAAACAAAAAATTCATATCGACTGATGCAATAAATTCTCCAATATCTATGAGGAACAACTTGGAAAAGTAGCCAAACTATATATCAAAAGTAGCTACTGTATGCCAATCCATTTGTCAGTGAAAGACACTGTCACCATGCTTAATGGTCCAATTCCTATCAATTGTTTTTTACAAATCTTTTTTATAGACTTCTCAAAGAGATATAAAAAGATGCAAAGTTCGCAGAGGACTTTTCTGCAAAACTGGAACTAGGAAGTGGATGGAGAATGAATGCCGCACTGGGTACTTTGCAACCAACTGGACAATTACAAATCTCTGAACTGATGGTGTAATTATCTGTGTTTTGCTAATTATTCTAGACTTAGGGGGAGTTGTAATTTGTTATTTTGCCAGAGAAATTGAGCCACAGACAAGTCAATGGGGAAAAAAATCCATATCTTTACTTTTTTTTTCTATTGAGAACAACCAAACCAAAAAAACCCCATTGCCATCAAGCCAATGCCAACTCAAACCGACCCGGTGGGACATGGTAGAACTGTTCCTGAGGATTGTAGAAAGTCCCATCTTTCTCCTAAGGAGTGGCTGGTGGTTTCAAACTCCTGACCTTGTGGATCACAACCCAATAAGTAACCATTACACCACCAGGGATCCTGCCCGTACAAAGCTCTAGGAAAATCTGGCAACAATGCCTTTCCACGCTCCCAAACTCATTGCCATCAAGTTGATTCTGACTCTTAATTAAAGAATCAATTAGCTCATTTCTTCACTGTGCCTTGGACACAGACTTGCACCTATCCAGCTTGCTTTTACAGTGGAGGAAACCCCACCCCCCTAATCTTTATTCCAGAAACATCTCTGCAAGGTCAGCATTTTGAACCCACCAGGGGCTTTCCAGAAAAAAGATGAGGCTTTCTGTTGTTCCCACAAAGATGTGCAGTCGGAAACCCACATGGGGCCGTTCTCCTCTGTCCTTTGCCGCTAGGAGTCAGCATGCACGTGGTGGGAGTGAGAGTTGGAATGCCATTCTGCTTTGTGCTGCTCACTACATATAGACAATAAGGAGTCTGATTTGATCCATACATTGTGCACATCTACTGATTTCGTTGGGTGTGGTTAAAACTCACTAAGAAATACAAACAAATATGCTTATATCCGGTGGTTCATCGGCATACTCATTAATTCAGATGCAAAATGGTTCACCTGGGAGGAGAGAGCTCTGCATGGGGGAGGGGGGGGGTGATGTAGGAAATAAAGCAGCCAAACAAAAGTTGGTTACAGGAGAGAAATCTGGCAGAATACTTAAGGAGAGAGAGTCAAGGACTGTGAATTGCTATTCAATTTTCTTCAATGTTCTACTAAACATATATATATTATTTATTTATATAGTTATTCTTTATTTTTTTAACATATATTTTTTAAAACTGCTATTTGCAATGTTTGTGGCTCAAATGTATGTTTATGCACAAGGGGGCTTAAAAAAGTTTGTGGACAAATGAAATGAAAGGAGAATGGAATGTGTCCACAAAGTTCTGGAAAGTCCCCCGGTGACTGTAATGCGCCCTGATGATGCAGTGGTTAAAGCACCTCTGACACTGCCAAGAGTTTCAAGATGATGGCACGCCCCGTTCTTCACTTAGGAATGCCACAAACCAAAACGTGCAGGTCAACTACATGCCCTACCTGGAAGAAAAGTTCTGCTAAGGGTAATCCGGTCTTTCTCAGTAAGAAGGTTTAGCAAATGTCACCCTGCAGGGAGACCAAGGTTGTCCCCATCCAAAGAGTGTGGGAACGTATATCTTACCTGGAGTCCTTTCTTACTCTGGCTTTTTCAAAGGAGAATTCAGGGGGCTTGTTGAGGTCATAGGTTCGGGTTGTGGGCTCCGCAGAAACCCCAGCCTTTGCTCCTCTGCGGCTGTGGAGAGAGACCAAGTCGGAGGCCTTGCGGTGGACCTCTAGGGGCACCTTCTCTGGAGAGGCCGGCGGCTGGCTGCCTCCCTGCACGTGCACCACATCCTGAAGCTTGTTCAGCTGGATGCACTTGTTCTGCAGCTCCTCGGTGAGCTCGGCCATGGCCACGGTCTGCTTGGACAGCTGCTCCCGCAGCTCCTTCAGAAGGAACTCCCGCTCCTGGATCTCAGCATCCTTCCGCCTCACCTCCCTCTCCAGCTCTGTCACCTTGCTCCGCAGGGCCAGGGCCTCGGCCGTGGAGTTCCCAGAGTGGCCATCTGGATGCTTGGAATGCTTGGGTTTCACAGAACCATTTCCCATTTTGCTCAGAGACCTGAGGAGGCACAGAACTGGGCATTACCTGCGGGTAGTTCATTTCCCACCAGCCCCCCACGACAGGCTTCATCCAATCTGCTTCATAAACGGAAACACTGCACAGGTATAATAAGCAATGAACCTCCCGTGCCTCCAGAAGGAACGCTATGGACTGACTGTCTTCATTCCTCCATGAAGAAGTCGGTCATTGGATGCATTCTGCCCCTTGGCCCTGGTGCCCACACAAGTCTCCCACCTCAGCCTGTGGCAGGAATGGCCTGGGTTACCTGCCATGCTCTCTGGTCGCTCTCTTGGGCCAGTTGTCAAAAGCAGCAGCACAAACCTGCGATTGGGATGTTGGCATGGCAGAGATAAAACACCAAGGAGCAGAGCTGGGAATGTCACAGTCGCCGATCCCTGTGAGGCTACAGGAAGAAAGCTTCCCCGGTTTGGAAAATAGAACATCTGCATCCCTCAGGAGGAGGAGGCAGAGCTGGCTGGCTTTATTAGCAGTTTTCTCCCACCCTGTGTACCGTCATGGGTCAAGTCAGTATCGCTCAATGGCAGCAAGTTCGGTTTACGTCCCTATACATTTTGCATTTCTGACCAAGCTCACAGTTAAAAACTTGTGGCGTGCTATCACTAGTAGATAGAATAGAGGTCTAGGGGTTCTTTCACATCCTTTGCTTCCTAGCCTTTACTTCCTAAGGCTGAGGGCGCTCAACAAAATGATGAGCTACTGTGTATGCCTTTCTTCCTCCCCTATCAATAGCCTCGGAGTGGGGACCCCAGAATTCACTAACCCAGTGAGTTTCAGGTGAGATGCAGATCATGGAATAAGAGGGATGATTTTAGTTTACTCAGTAGCGTTATATTTTTAGTTCAATGACAATGTGTTTATTTTAACATCTCTTAACTATAAAACACGGGCACTGCAAAGCTGTATTTTCCCTGCTATCATCATTTACATGGAGGTTAAATTATGTACTGAAGTTTATTGAGTCAATTCAGTACAAAATAAACTATCTGTAAATATTATATAGCTATGAAAATTTATAAATATAGAACTCAATAGGTGACATTTTTGGGGAAAATGTATTTGCTCTATGATCAGAAAATTTCATTCTTTTTAGACTACCTCTCAAAAACCAAACTCACTATCCGTGAGTGCATTCCAACTCACAGCGACCCTATCGTGCGAGGGACAAGTGCCACTGTGGGTTTCTGAGACTGTAACTCTTTATGGGAGTAGAAAGTCCCATCTTTCTTCTGTGGAGCAGCTGATGGATTCAAACCGCTGACCTTGCCAGTTAGCAGCCCAGCACATCACCACTCTGCCATCAGGGTTCCCCTTAGGCTACCTAGTTAAACTTTATTCATTTTGCATATCTAATCTTGACAGCTATAACCCCCCAAAAGTATTAAAACATCTCTAAAGGTATCTTTATCTAAAATCAGAGGAGTTTAAGTTTTTGACATTATATAATCTGCACTCCTCTGTCTCTACAAATTTCAAACGCATAAAGGAAAAAAGATGCTTCTTGTACTGATTTCAACAGCTCTACTGGAATAATTATGAGCTTTACAATCACAAAGTCATGACTATAAAGATGTCAATTAACTTCTAAATTTCAACCCAGTGCAAACAAATCGTCAATGCAGATAATCTAAGGAGGGCACTACACAAAGGCAATAAATGTACCTTTTAGAATAATCTTCCAACATACAGTTATTCCTGATAGAATTCAGGTTCTGGACAGTCATTAATAACCATGAATTCCCAGAGAATCATATTAATACAGTGCAGAGATGTGACAGGATTAACTGACTTGTCAGTATTCGTTATTCTTACATAATACAAATAGAGAAGAGCACGGAAGAAACTAGAACTCAAAGAAGTGTCCTTGTAGCGCAAACGGAAATCCAGAACATGCAAGAGACCAAGAATAAGCTGAAAGGCAACTCTGAATTAGCGGCATGAGCAGAGTCTCCCCTGAGGTCTCTTACATTAATGTGTTTTCAAGTCTTTAAAATGCAGCCGTGGGCCCTCTTTTAGAAGGGCATTTTGGTTCACAGGCATGCATTTCTAGGATAATGGAGGAGTTAGGGGAGGAAAAGTAATCACCTTATAAAAAACAAAAACAAGCACAAAATTGTACAACATTAAATGAACAACCTACAGTACATACTCAAGTATAAGCTGACTCAAATATCAGCCAAGGCATCTAAGTTTACCACAAAAACCATAAAAAGTGTATTGAAGCGCTGCGGGGGACAACACTGGAGACACAAAATCTGACCCCATCACGCTGGGACGAAACACTAAGGACATGCACCAGGGCAGCAGGGGGAGCAGAGTGATGAAATCTGGGGAATACCAAAAATAGCCTTTGGAGGCAGAATGTGGCACCCCATCAGACTCAACGGGAAAACGTTCACAAAGGCCAACAAACAGACCCTGAACTATTGATAGGCTTTTCCGTTTTTGTCAGTGGCTTTCTTTTTGTTATTGTTATATTGTGTTTGTTTTTGGTTGTTGTTATTGTTTTGTTGGTTTTTACATTCTTTGTTGTTTTAATTGGCTGTGCCTGGTTTTTGCACTTAGTAATGTATCTGTATGTCTATCAAGATAACATAGGTGGGATAAATATTTTGAAGATGAAAAGAACGGGACCAATGGTTCCGAGGGGACACAAAAGAAGGGGAGGTGGGCGAAAGCGAGGGGGGTTGTTGGGAAACCAAACCAGGGATAAAGGAACAACAAGTGAACTAAAATCAATAGAAAAAGGATGTAGAATGCATAGTGGAGCTTAGTCAAGGGCAATGTAGCAGCAAGGAATTACTAAACCCAAATGAAAGCTGAATATGATGGTGGGACAAGAGGACAGTAAAAGGAAATAAAGACCCAGGAGGCAAAGGACATTTATAGATGTCTAAATACAAGCATGTATGTATGTAAAGATGTATAACAAGAGGGGAATAGAACTATGTACTCATATCTATATGTTAAGAATTAAGGGTGCAAGTGGACATTGGGCCTCCACTCAAGTACTCCCTCAGCACAAGAACACTTTGTGCTAACAATCCTGCATTCTGGGATGCTCACCTTCCCAACAAAATCACTGAAGACAAAATGAATGCATAAGCAAATGTGGTGAAGAAAGCTGATGGTGCCCGGCTATCAAACGATATAGCATCTGGGGTCATAAAGGCTTGAAGATAAACAAGCGGCCATCTAGCTCTGAAGCAACAAAGCCCACATGGAAGAAGCACACCAGCCTGTGTGATCATGAGGTGTTGATGGGATCAGGGATCAGGGGTCAGGCATCTAAGACCCAGAACAAAATCATAACCAATGTGATTAAGGGGTGGGGGGCGTGGAGTGGAGACCCAATGCCCATCTGTAGACAACTGGACATCCCCTCACAGAGGGGTCACCGGGAAGAGGTGAGCCAGTCTGTGTGCAGTATAGCACCGATGAAACACTCAGCTTTCCTCTAGTTCTTTGGTGCTTCCTTTCCCCCACTATCATGACCTCAATTCTACATTACAAATCAGGGTAGACTAGAACATGCACACTGCTACAGATATGAGCCCGCAACACAGGGAACCCAGGATAGATAAACCTCTCAGGGCCAACAAGGAGAGTAGAGATACAAGAAGAATAAGGAAAGGGTGGGGGGAGAAAGAGGGAATCAATCACAAGGATCAACCTATAATCCCCTCCCAGGGGGACTAATAATGGAAAAGTGGGTGAGGGGCGATGGAGGATGATGTAAGATATGAACATAATAATCTATAGCTTATCAAGGTTTCATGAGGGAGGGAGGGCAGGGGCGAGAGGGGGCTGAAATGGGGAGCTGATATCAGGGGTTCAAGTGAGAAGAGAATGCTTTGAAAATGATGATGGCGGCATATGAGCAAATGTACTTGACACCCTGGATGAATGTAGGGATTGTGATAAGAGATATAAGAGCCCCCAATAAAAGTAAGAAAAAAATGTGCTGAAAACCTCGGCTTCTACATGAGTATAGACAGTACTAACAACCATGGAACCTCTGCTTAGTGATATCTACTAAAATGTGATATGGTATGCATTATATTTGGAGCATATCCCTTGGCAGATTTGAAGTGAATTTTGATGCAGAAAATAGGTTCCGTATTCTAAGTAGGGAAAAGCTTAGAATCATTTTTTTCCATGTGTGTGGCTTTCAAAATACCCTGTGCCAATCCAATCATGTTACAAACCTGAAGCACAATTAGATGGTACTATTACATTTCCCCCAAACACCCACTGTTCTCTAAATTCATGGAAGTCGTTTTAGAAGCTGTGTCCTTCTTTCAAGCTCTTTAGAGTTCTAAGGAGAGTAAGTAACTCATCTCTCAAATTTAAGGCATGTAAGTAACTTACTGAATAGATCTTTATTAGTTGGATTTCTTAGCTAGTTAGTTCACTCTTTTATACATTGTTGTCCTGCAGTCAAGGCTTCAAGGCTAAAATCTCTGACGTTGTAAAACTTAATTAGTGTCACTCTATGTCCTGTACCAGTGTCTAAAATAAGCTATGTCTCAAACTTGCATTGTTGGTCACAGGAATTGATCCATGGGATGTTACCCTATCAATTTAACAACTCTAGGTTATTCAAATTAAATCCAGAGAGCAGCACATGATGTAATAAGAAATAAGGCAGGAGGTAAATGACAGGATTTACTTATGAGCAATGGAGTCTGGCCACTTAGCTTTGGAAAACAATCTCCAAACTTTAAATGTCTTAGAAGCTCTGATCCTTAATGAAAATAGATAGAAGTATATTCATCTCATAGGGTGATGATGAGGATAGTTTATAAGATGAGGAGCTCATTGGTAAAAAATTTTCCTTCCATGTGGCAGAGGGATACATCTAGGCCAATGGACCTAACGTGGACCCCGCCTCCCCATCAGTTGGTGGAAGTTTGTGTGAAGCTATGATGTTGAACAAAGTCCACAGGAACTTACAGACTGAGTT